ACCCCACTCCCTTCTAGCACTGAAGATGTGACCTAGCCGGGTAACGAAACATTGGCAAGAAAACAGCCAAGCTCAGAGAACCCCCAGGACTCCACAGTTCAACCCTGAGCTACACATATTCGCTTCTATTGGTCTCTACAGCCTCCTGGCTGCTCTCTAGTGATCATCCAAATATTTGGAGCCCGGTTCTGGCAGTTCTAGTTTTCAAGGCAGCTCAGGGAGGCTCCATCCAGCTTAACCTCCAGCTGTTTCCTTATCAAGATAAAGACAGCTACAAATACTTTTCTTCACCTGATGATCTCCAACCAAACTCTGGGAAAGCTAAGCTGAACTCTTGTCTGGGGAAAATCCATTGTTACAGGAAGACATTGTGGGAAACTTATATGGGGCGTCCCAGTCCCAGGAAAGACACCGTACAGTGGCTAGGGATGGCCCCGCACAGATTCCCACTGCAGTAATCAAGACTTGCGATGACAAACGTTTCAAGGAACAGCCAGGAGGAAACGACTGGGTTTTACATTTTAAAGAACGGTTTCTTTTAATTTTAATATTGGTGTCTAGTACAAAAACAAATGAACAGAAAAAGTGCTTCAGTTTTTTTTAAGGTCCCCAGTCCCCAATCCCCGGAACAAAATCCAGATACTTTCCCCTTTCTTCCCCCAACAGCTTCCCCTCCCACCCCAAATGACACTCACTTTTACACAAGCAAGACCACATACAGTAGGGAAAGGTCAACCTGGATGCCTACAAACTTATTGTGGCTTCTTTTGAAGAATCCGTGGAAATTGTCCTTTATGGGAGTTAGCAAGGTATTCCTCACTCCCCCTGCAAATCTGCGATTCCTAGCGTTACAGAATTCTTGTTTAGGCCAGGGTTATTAAACATGTTTATGGGGTGCATATGCCCAGAGGGGCCCCCGGGTAAATCTAAAACCTCCAAGAAACAACATTCAAGAAAGTCCCTCCTCCCACTTCATTGGGTCCTATTCTGTCTCTCCACAGTTTTGGGGTCATGCGAGAATCAGATGCAAATGCGCTAGAGATAGAGGGGTGCATTTCTGCACATCTCTGAGACTGGTGCCGGGAGGTTTGCTCAAATCATTTCCCAACCTATCCCAAAAGCGGTCCTTCCATGCCCCTCCCTACATGCTATTCAGGGCATGGGGCGGTAGAGATCAGGGCATCTGGGTCTGGGTGCACAGAACACACTGGGGCTGGAGCGAGCACAGAAGGAAACAGGTAATGCTCCTCTGATATGGAACAGGATGTTTTGGAGAACTGATGCAAAACGCTACCCAATGTTTCTCATGGCTACAACCCAGAGATCACCCGCAGACAAAGGGGCAGGGCAGAACCCGTAGCAGAAGTTCGTTCTGCAACCACCGAGGTCATCCTTTCTTCAGTAGCAAATTCATCCCTTGGCCTTCTTACGGTGGGTGCAACACATTCATTTGGAAAACAGGCAGGCTCTTAGCTTCAAATAGTCAGTATCAAGTCCATATACATATCTGCATGATCTAGGGAAGTGTTTCTCAATCTTGGCACAACTTTATAAGAGTGG